ATTCTCAGTTGGATTGCTCCAGCATTGTGCTGTGGTCTTAGTACATTGCCTATTAAACTAGGAGGTAAGATAGTTGAAGTGCAGTAACTTGTTTGTACTAAACTAACCACTTGTTTCTGTGACCATAAGTCCCAGAAATGTACCCAGAAGAGAAAAGACAATCTTCACTAATTACAAGACCCCGTTTAATAGTTCCAGTTTTCTTCATGCGTGGATGTCAACATTTTAATTATTCACCACTAAAATAGTACTACCCTTTAACACGCCTTAGAGGCATATTAACCTGCTAACATACTGGATTGACTGTATTATTTCAACACATCTCATAGTTACATTAGACTTCTGGGTATAATTTATGATGTTGCTTATTGATTTCTGAAACACTGTTTGATTTGAATCCTGAGAAACTATCTCTTTTCCTTCACATGTTTGTGGCAGTTGGTTAAGTAGCTCAATGAGATCTAAGAACAGTTAGCATGTTTGGGAGCCAAAGGCAGAGTATTTATAGAGGAAGGACCTCAGTGCTGAAGATATCTGTGTAGTGGGACCTTGGGGTCATGACCACATATGATGGCAAGAGGTGAGATCAGTGAGGTCATGGGTCAGATCCCATCCACCTTTAATTGAATGTGTGCTGGGGGTCAAAGTTATTACACATATGTTGTGTAATAGCTTTGTGGCTTATTCCCTGTTTTATCAGTCTTTTAATTGCATTATTGTATGGCTGATTTAGTACTTACATGATTGCTCATGTCTTAAGTCTAACATCTGCCAGAGGCCTTAGTTCCACAAAGATTAATTCCACTGACTTCTAGAACATACTGCTAACCCCATCTTTTTCTCTTGTCCTCATTTTTGTTTGCAGGTGCAAGGTAAGGAAACACTCTTGTTACTCTCTTGTTAAGATAAATTTCTAGGCAAAGTCTATTTTTAATTAACATTGTATATGTAATCTTCCATCAGTTTTTTTTTTTCAGAGAAATGCATATTCCCAGTGATAATTATGATGGAAATATATTCACAATAATGGGAAAACATGTACCTTACAAATAAATATATTTTCCTTCAAGATATTCTAAAATCCATGTTCAATCTATGCCAGCATAAAACAGTTTCCAGAATCTGCCAAAATTTCGTGTTTAAAAATGGGCCAAAAGCTTTTTATTCACATACGTTTATATTTTAATGCAGGAATTTTCCGTATGCTGTTTCAACCCAGAGGAAATTATTAAAGCTAATTTGTAAGGCCCTGAAAATAGGAGTTTAAAACAATGGAAATGCTGGCAGAATCTTAAATACTTGGCACATCTACACATGAAATTAATTCTATATGGGTTTACTGTGTAATAAATTACTGCACAGTAAACTGCCCTGGGCAGGCATATACATGTGCAGCCATTTGGGAGCAGATTTGCTCCTCATGACAGTAGCCTGATCCAGGCCTCCCCTGGCCTTGATCTGCCCCCTTGCAGCAGGCAGGGGGAGCTGGAAGTTCCAGCCACAGCTGCCTGGGGCCAACACCACTCTTTAAAAAGCAGCCCTGCATGGTGCTCCCTGGGCACCTGCATTTCTGGCCAGGAACAGTCTGCAGTGTGCTGGCAGAGCCCTCACCAAGTCTGTCACCAGAGCCTGTGTCTTCTATGCAATACGTACTCCACCTCAAGACCCTGGGAACAGCAACCCATGCCCCGGCCTCCTGCTTGCCACCATGCTTACTGTGGTTTGCCGCTGTGGCAACCACCGCCTGGCTCAGGTTTTTCTTGGCCCTGCCTGCCCCTCTGTGCTACATAGCCATGTAGCCAGGCTCACCATTGTGTCTGATGCCTTCTGCCTCCACACTGTTGCCACTCAGCCCCTGGGCTTCTGCCTGAACACCAGCAGGGATGCCAGTGACATGCATATAGATGCCACCACCGGTGCCATACATGAGCTTCTGGGGCTCCTGTGGGCCTGCCCAGCGATCCAGGACTGGTGGATGCATGTCATTCAGTGCACCTGGGATGATAAGCAGTGGCTAGAATCATTCTGGATGACCCAGGCCACCTTCCAGGAGCTCATCAACAAGCTCCACCTGCACCTGGAGTGACAGGCCACCACCATGAAGCCGCCTCCCCAACATGTTCACAGAGACTTGGGTGGCCATCGCTGACCATGCCTGCCAGCCTGTGCTATGTTGGCCACCTCTTCAGTGTGGGCAAGGCAACCACCAGAGAGGTCTGTGGTGCCCTTCAGAACATGCTGGGCCACACCGTGCTCCAGTTCCATGACACCTTGAAGCTGGTGTTGGGGTTCCAAGCCCTGGGCTTCTCCCACTGTATCAGGTCCCTGAATGAGACCCACATGTTTGTCACCTGCCTGCCCCAAAGAGATCGCCCCTACTAGAGCCAGCAAGCTTTCATTCTGTCATGCTTCGGGCCGTCATTGACCCCCAGGGTGCCTTCACCAACATGAGCACCATTTGGGCTGGCAGCACCCACAATCCCTGTATCTTTCAGAACTCTGTCCTGCCAGCCTCAGTGAAGAATGGGCACTTCACACCAGGGGTGCCGGACCAAATGGTGGTCCCACCCCCTCCTCATCAGGGAACCCACCTACCCTGGCTCATGTGGCCCTACACTAGCCAGTTGGATCCCCTCCAGGCAGATTGCAACACCTCGGCCAGACCTCCTGGCCACAGGAGGTGTTGCTGCACTTCAGCCCAAGCCCACTAGGGGGCTTGTGGCTGGGCAGTGGAGACAAGCAGGGCTAGGATTGTGGGCAGGGTGAAGGTGACCACCGGGGCTAGGATGATATCCAGCATGGTGGCCTCTCTCTGAATGCCTGGTCCTCTCCTGGTATCTCTGCTACTTGCGCATAATGTCCTCCACATGCTAGGCCTGCAAATCCACCAGCCATTCCTCTGACACAGTAACCAGCCAGGCCAGCAACAGGGTCTGGTCCTGGGTCCACCACTGCTGAAGCCAGTACATGGTGGTGAACCTGAAGGTGCATCCCCACACACAGCTGGTGCATTTCCCCTGTATCCAGCTGCTGGACCTGCAGAACCAGGAGAAAGAGGCTGTTTGTGAGAGTTTGCAACATTTCTGAGATAACATGCAGTATACCAGGGGTTTGTGTGCTGCCCAGCTTCAGATCAGGGGTCATGTGCACATAGGTGCCAAAATAGAATGGTAAGTAGGCCAGCCACTGGATGAGCCCCCCATCCCCACTCATTCTACAGGGGCAGGTGGGCTGCTGGGTGCTTACTGCAGGCAGCCTACCTTTCCCAGCCCCTACCCAGGCTAGGACAGGTTTGGCTTCTGGCAGCACCTGCTGCAGGTACTCCAGATCCCCTCCCCCCCTGCAGGCCAGGCAGTGTCCTCTCTTGCCACCAGGCCCATGGCACCCAAGCTCAGGTGACAAGGGGCTTTCAGCCAACTGGGATGCAGAGCTGGTTGTACCCCAGCCCTTCCCCCAGAGTGCCACCAAAGCAGACCAGCCCGCCCCCCAACACATGCCCTGCACCCTGAGCATGCCCCTGGTGAGAGTGTCATGGGTGCGCTGCAATTAACTCTTTGCACAGACTGAGGAATGCCTGACCCACTACACCCAGCTGCTGCTGATCGCCATGGTGCCTCAGGTGCACCTGAAACCTTGGCACAGGACCCTGAGCTTCAGTGGTATGGTGGATAAGCCCAGGCTTCCCCACAATGTTTACTGCCCCCCAGAGGGGTATATGTGGCTATGCTATGCATCTCTACCCCCCACTGCTGAGGACAACATTGTCGCCATCATCAACATGTTTCTCCATGTGTGAGTGGCGCTTGCCTGCATAGCTGAGGGGGGTTACTGGCTGCTCAGTAACATTTTTCACTGTGCCTTCTGCCTCCATGTGCTGTGGGGGAGAAACTCCAGCAGCCATGAAGGAGCTCAGCCAGGCCAGGTGGGGAGGAGGGCATGGGCAGGAGCAAGGAGAGGAGGGTCCTCCTCCCAATGTGGGGCTTGCCAGGTGGGCATGGCATGCATACTTGGCAGCCTAAGTCTATCCCTGCTGGCTGCAAAGACATGCAGCTCCCAGTGGTGTCCTGGGCTGCAAGGCCACAGTGCCTGGCTAGCCAACCAGGGCTCCCCTCTGGGGAGGGACTGGAGTTGTTGAGGACAGGTGGTGCTATGCCCAGGCTGGCCTTCTGGGTGGGGCTGCACACCTGGAGCTGGTAGGGCAGGCACTTGCCTGGACTGCCAGAACTACTGGATGATGCTGGGGTAGGGACCACGGTGGGACATACTCTTGGTGTCCTGAAGGGCCCTCCCCTGATGACAACTTACTGCCACTGCCAAGCTGTGTGGAGGCTCCATCTGGCTGGCTGTGCTGGAGAACATGGTATGGCTGTGCCTAGAACACAAGGATGTGATCCAGCTGCCGTATAAAGGGCATGGTTTTGCAGGTAGCCCCTGACCAGCAGTTGTGGTTGGTGACATGGACCCACTGCGCCTACAAGGCCTTGACCTTTATGTGGCTGAACAGTCATGCTCATGCTCTGCGTGTGGCCCATCAGGCCCTCACAGATGTGGGCATTGGCACACTCGCTCCATGTGACCTGTCTCTGGAGCTCGGCCTTGCTCCACAGTGCAGTGAGGTTTGTGGTCTCGTCCTGGAACCAGCTGAGCCCCCAGGACATGATGTGTGGCACCAAGGATGACACCAGTGTGGCTGCCTCTATGGCCCATCAGTGGCTGTGGGTGAGAGCAGACAGTAAACTAATTGACTGCATAGTAGGCACCTGTACGTGTAGACAGTGATGTCTTACTGTGCAATTAGTCTATTATGTGGTGAAGCATCTCATGTAGACGTGCCCACTGTGAAGTTTCTAAATTCCATCACAACAATACATAAAACCTATTCTAGTTAGGATTCTGTTCACTCAGTCACAGTACCTGGCATAAGGTTAAAATAATAATAGGCTCATTCATTAGAAAATCTGTATTTGTGGTATTATATTTTTTTATTTCCTCTCTTGCAGGAGGTGAAGTCACTAAACCAAGATTTGCTCAGTATTTCCATGGCAGTCTTGCCAGCCTCACTATCCGGCCAGGCAAAATTGAGAGTCAGAAAGTGATTTCCTGTTTGCAGGCCTGCAAGGAAGGTCTAGATATTAATTCTCTTGAGAGTCTTGGCCAAGGAATAAAGGTGAGAGATGAACTGACATCATCTTTGATAAAATTTAGAGCTGATTTATGAACTGGAGAGCCCAAGGTGGAGTACACAAAGTACAGATGTACTCCCAGAAGCAATGTAATTTCCCATAAAGTCATGCAAAGAAAAAGTGTAACAGGAGAAGAACTATGACACTGCCAAGCAAAGTGTTTCCATTATTTCAAAGATGTACACTTACAAAGTAAGGTGCCACAGGTATTTCATATTCTCTAGGAAGTGCCAGGTCATGCTGTCCATGCCCTGTTTTGGCACCATTTACAACAACAGACATGTTTGCAGAGACTACTATATTTTATGGAGTTTTGACCTGAAGTAGTTTTGAAGTAACAGAAAATATAAAGTAACAGTGGAATACGTTTCATTTGGTGGCAGCTCTGAAAATAGGGGCTATATGTTCTGACTGACATTCAAAATATATTCTACCAGAAAAACTAGATTATGATCTCATTAAGGTGGAACAATTACATATGAAAAAAAATCAGAAAATGCTGCAATTTAACTTCTATGGACTGACTTCACTATTTCCATTTTGCATGTGCCTTGCAGTATAAGCTTTAAAACATGATCATCTTAGTACTGCAGAAATACAACAATATATAAGGAGTGACATTCTGGTAAGTGACAAAATCTCTGACTTCAGGAAGGCAAAAATGTCACACAACTCTTTTCAGAATGACCCCCTCCTTCTATTGATAGATTTGTTAGATGATGGATATTCTCTTATCCCAGCTGTAAATTTTAATAATCTTGTCACTATTCAAGTAATGTATACTTTTTTTTCAATCAGCTATGTAACTTTCCTAGGGTGCATTTCAAGGAAAGAGGCAACCAACTAGAATAAGCTGTTTTGTGGCACAGCTAAACACTGTACAGTCTTTCTTAGGAACAATGTGTGGAATGAAACCGTTAAGAAAGCAGGTGATTTAGTTGTAAAACTAAGTGGCCTGCATGTGGCAACAAGTTATTATTATTACTTGCTGTAATACTTAAGGTAGAATCAGTAGCGCAATCACAATTCACTGGTTTTTGTCAGGTAAATTACTATGGTTTCTAGTGTGTATCAACAGTACATAGACCTGTGAGGTGCCATGCAAATACACACAGAAATAATTTGTATTAATGATTTCCATGTTTACAGACAAGAAACAGAATTTAACATTTCAAATTTAAATTTAGGGCCAGATTTTGAAAAATGTAGTCAGAATTACTCTCAGTATTAGACCTACTGAATCCAATGGGAGTGTCCCTTGGTGTAATACCCAACTGTCTTACCTAGAAAGTGCCCACATATTAAATGCTGCGTTGTCTTTAAACATCATAAATGTCAGGATTGTCTGGCTGTGTGTTATGTCAGTTTGTGTCCTTTTTTGATAAGACATATTTCATGGCCCCTCCTTTCTGTGGTATTAGCCTTTAAATAGGGAAAGTGATCTATTTCTAGGTCCTAATTTTATTATAGTAAGAACATTATTAATGATTTCACTGGACAGCTATTGTAGCAATGCAGAACATTTTAATGACATACTTGTTAGGAAAGTCCTTTAACAAAGACTGTGCATGTAGTTTAAGGCTCTTTTGCAGAAAACCCTACTTGCTACTATATGGATGTCTGTATAAATATACATGCACACCAGAAATAGTAAGGCCCAAATGAACATATTATAAATCAGCCTGTATTTGGCTTATAGTTACTAGAAATGCACTTAAAGTCATTGCTCTGCTAAGCTAAGTACAGACAGTCAAGAAGTCCAAGACTGAATCAATTCAATCTTTGCAGATTTCTCAAAACTGCATAGATTGAACTGATAAGCAAGTGAACTGGTGTTCACTTTTCAAACAGAAAACACAGCCAGACCCCTGCAGTGGCCCATACCAGTACAGGGGGGTTGGGGTGGGGAGAGAATAGAGCACATGTCCCAGCCTGCTGACCAATGCAGAGAGCCAGGAGATGAACAATTCCCCCAGCCTCACCCCCTCCTCAGCCTCTGGGCCAGTTGAAGAAGGGCACGGGGGGAGAACCCACCCCTTTGGCCCAATGCTGGACCCCCAGCCAGGAGCAGCCCAGCATGGGAGAATAGGGAGGGCCTGACCTTGGGGCTTTACTCTGCCTGCCTGGAGCCCAGGGTGTGGCTGGAGTCTTCCAGCCATGCCCCCTTCTCAGCCTCCATGCTGGCTGGGAGAAGTGACTGGGTGACTGTGGCATTGATGCCTACACAGTCAGATGGATTGCAGATTGGCTGAAGGGTTGCACTCAGAGGGTGGTGGTGGATGGGTCATATTCAACCTGGGGAGAAGTGGGCAGCGGAGTCCCCCAGGGCTCGGTCCTTGGGCCTGTGCTGTTCAATCTCGTTATCAGCGATTTGGAGGACGAGGTGAAAAGCACCCTGTTTAAATTCGCTGATGATACCAAAATTTGGGGTGAGGTGAGCACACTAGTAGGGAGGGAAAGACTGCAGGAAGACTTGGATAGGTTACAGGGGTGGGCTAGCAAAAACAGGATGCGCTTCAACACTGACAAGT